CCACCTTATTGGGACAATAAAGCCCTAAAACAACACTTTAATTCCACTTTTCACATATTTTCTTCATATTTATTGAAAATAAATGTTTTTCCAATCTGATAAGCAATGATAAAAGATGATTTGAACTCGGGTCGGTCACGTCAGAATGCACCTACTTCCATACGCCACTGATGCTGACAGGTCACAAGTGTTTTTTTTTTTTTGTTTTTTTTTGTACATTTGTCTGGCCCAACCAGACATTCGTGGGTGGAGTTGGTGTAAATAGCCTCTGCCAACAAGACGGGCTATTTACACTAACTGTAAGACACTCCAAAAATATAAACAACCTCAATGCTAAAAGACATTCACTAAAAACTCCCACACATTCAAAAAAACATTTTCAAAATCCAATTTTGTTAAATACATATAATGTAATTTCTTTGTTGAGGCTAAAGGAGAAAGATTTATCCACTTTTCTTTGACCTGTTTAATCACACACACACACACACACACACACACAGCAGCAGCATTCAGGGCACCAGCTGCAGCTAAGCGGGCAATGACTTCTGATGGTCTGAAAAGGCCCTCTGGGACACAGATCACTGGCATCAGTTCAGCTCACATTGAGAGCTACAGATAAATGTACCAGCCCAGTGGATTCAATGGGCGCACCAGAAACAATTCAACCCACTGCTGGATCTCTGCCAATGATGTTGTGTTCAATCTGTCCCTCAGCTCAGCCAAAAGATCACAAAAAACATATTTTTACTGTTTTATATTTACATTTGAGCAGGATTCTTAAGCCTTTCTACATACTTCTTGATCAGCTTATAAAACTTTACACGATAAATTTTACACGATAAAATTCGCACAAAGTTATTCTTTAACTTAACAATTAAGAATGCTTAATTGATCAAAAGTGACCGTAATACATGTTACAAAAGATTTCCATTTCAAATAAATACGGTTCTTTTGAACTTTCTATTCAACAAAGAAAACAAAATGTATCAGTTTCCACAAAAAATAATGGAATGGAAACTTCCTACACATTCTTCAACACTATAAATATCCTCTCGGTGTATTCCTGAAGGCAGCTGCTTTTTGTCTTGCACTGTGCTATACTGAAAGTCTGGTTTTCTGAAGCGTTTATTAACTGGCTAAAGTTCAAATGAGTGTTCATAGGCTAGCCGGAGTGTCTGATAATAAAGCCATAGTGCTGCATATGCACAAACTGTACTTAAGGATTTTGTGTGTACACTGCTCTTAGCAAGGTTTGGAATCCTTTGAAGCGTGCACGTAAGGAATTAGACAGGAATGCAAACCACAAGCTGAGTGTGTTTAGCTGTGAATATATTTTGAGGAGCCAAATGAGTGTGTGTCTTTAGGATTGCATTGATGGCAGAATCAATAAGATGTGGGCCAACTCTTCTCAACTCCAGCACCAAACTGTCACAGAAGAAGGAGCAAAGACCCTGGCAATGACCCACGTTAAGATGGCTGCTGCATCTTTGGGTTGATCCAATCTTTTTTTGCAGAGATGAAAAGCAATTACAGTAAGAGGCTAGAGAGTGCTGCTTGTTTTGGGGTCACTTAACCAACAGATTATGAAACACAGGCTGGAAAAGCCATGAAAAGCAATATGCTGTGATTAATACAGGTGTTTTGGCTATAAACCAAACCATATGATTTACCAAAGAAGAAATAAAGTCATGCAGGTTTGGAATGATGTCAATAAATGAATAATTTAATTTTTTTGCTAAACTCTCCAACCCAGACTCAATAGGGTTGGAACATGCCTGTGGCAAAATTTCTGCATAATGATAGCCTTTTACATTGATTCTTGCACGTTTTGCGACAATTTCAAAGTGTGGTTGTCTAGTGAGTGCCGCTAAAAGCACATTCAGTTTTGACCAAAACAAATTAATGGCAAGCTTTAATTTCTTTGGTTGTTGTGCGTATCACACAAGTTCAGGCACTAAGCAACTAAGCAAGCCATTTTAGCCCGCTTCTACAAGTCTTTGACAAATCACGACCCATGTTTCCTTAACACTCCGCATTTCAAGCTGTAGCAGGTGAGCTACCAAGCAAGTTTACTATGTCGAAAAAATAGGCTACATACGAAGGCGGTTATATGGCACAAATGTCAAAATGCAAAATGTACAACTCATGCACAATGATAAAAGTGTTACGAACATTTTTACCATATGAATGGTAAACTAAACAAGTCTTAATTAATTGACACTCATTAATCGAATAAAGATGTTGGTTTTTATTGCCTCTAGTGTTCATTTCAGCTGAAAAACTGCAGTAAATTGTATCTACGCAGTTGGTTCGAGTTTTATAGCCTACAAATGCAGGTGGCACGTTTTTCCAATGAGCCTAAGCTAGAAGTAGGCCCTATCTCTCTATTTTTTTCATTTTTTTTTTTGTCATATGGTCTCTACAACCATAAATATGTAGGCTACACATTTCCATGGCAATAAATGTAAATGAGGTGAACAGGTGGAATATTGTGTCAAGCATGTGAAGGCGTCATCAAATTCAAGAGTAGGCTAATGCTGAGGAAATCTGATTTATGCAACTCATGAAAATGCTGAACACACACACGTCTACACACACATCTACGCCGCATATAGGCTACGCCAATACACAACACTAAAAACGTGTGTAAATAAATGCATATCTACGCAAGCCGGTGTGAACCTTAGTCACCCTACAAACGCCGTGTCTATGTAACACGAGCCATTTTCCCAGCAAATTAGTCTGCATTAAAGGTGCCATGAATATTTAAAACACAATGTCTTCCAATGGTGGTGGGTGAATGATGGTCATAATGGGCTCTCTAACCCAGTGCAGCTCGAACCACCGAAACCTCTTTTCCGCAACACGCAACAGCATCATGTCTTCATCGTTTTTCGGATGAATCCCACATGAAAGATGAAACTGGTTCTTACCGCAGGAAGAAGCGGCTCCATCTGCGCTCCTTGATCTTTCACATCCATCCCTGATATTTTAGCCTTGTCTTGTTCGTCTGTGGTGAATTTTCTCCAAACCAATGATAGGAAGGAGGAGAAAAAATGTCATGTATATCGAAGCGGTTTCGGTTGCGGTGTAACAGTTAGTGACCGTTGGGTTTTTTCGTTCTTTCTTCACTCGCGCGCGTCCGTGCGTGCGCTCCTTCAGCGTGTCATTTGCGCTCGCGTGACGCAGCCGCGACCGGCAGCACGTGAGTTAACAGAAACCACCGGGACGCAAAGGGTAGCCTACTACTACATCATGGATTAAACACTCCGGGGACAAAAAGGATAGCCTACTTGAGGCTTCGATTTACTACAGTGAGAGAATAGGCTATTTATAGAACGCGTTTAGTTGCAAACCATAAAGACGAAAAGTAAATAAACTGGGTTTTTTCATTCGGTCAAAAAATGTTTTAATAACCTAACTGCCTATTTTAAGATTCAAGCCTTGTAGAGACAGCATAACATTTTCAATACGGTTTTTGGTTAAAAGTGTGTAGGCTTCTTGCAGTGTGCTGTTCGACTATACTTCCAGTTAAAAAATATATATTAGCCTAACATAAAATAAAATAAAAAACACAAAATGAACAATATATTGTTTCCAGGCAATAACAGTGGAGATGTCCATACTGTGCCTTGAAACTGACTTTCAAATATAAATCCATCACACACACACACACACACACACACACACACACACACACACACACACACACACACGTTTCAGCTAAATAGCCAGCAGTGGAATTGCATTTACAGCATGGACAATTAAAAATAAAAGCAACATGATTTTAAAAGCAACATGATTTAAACAATTAAAGGTTAGCGGATTTATGGATTTACAGTGGATTTATTCAGTGATATTTCTACCCATCTTAAACTGACTAAAATGCTGGGTTGTTTTAACCCAATTTTTGAGTTTGTCCATATTTGACCCAAAATTGGGTTGAAACAACCCATCATTTTTTAGAGTGTAAAAAAATGAATGCGCTTTATTTACAAAGCAGCACACAGAATTGTACATAAAGCCTGTGTATCCAATGGCATTGTCACGGGGTGGGTGCAGGCAGAAGAACAGGCAGAGTCCAAAAAGCCCCAATACAACGGTTTAATCATAAATAAAACTGGATACAGGCAGGCGGAACACAGGGTATTGACCGACCAAGACAGACTGAAGGAGGGAGAACTAAATACACAGAGGAATCAGGACTAATGAGGTGCAAAACAGGTGAAACAGATGAAACAGGACGCTGAACGGGAGGCTGATGAGGGAGTGAGTTCAGGTGTGGAGACAAGAGGATCCTGGGAAGTGTAGTGCAGATGACGTGACAGGCAGGTGAAGACGGCAGACTGTGACAGGCATAGCCTAGTTTATCAAAAGAGCTTTACCGTGGGACTTCAACAACTATCAATAATCTTTTTTTTTTTTTTTTTTTTTTTTTTTAACAGTAAATTATCACCAATCATTCAATCAATCTCTCCCATTAGACTTTGACGCCACCCTGTGGCCCTTTATATATATATTTTTTTAAAAGTTACAAGGAAATACTTTCGCTATTTATGCTATACTCACCTTCATGGTTTTCAAAATCCAGATTTTTATTTTTCTGTGGAAAAAAAAAAGATGCCTATATAAGTAAAAAGATAGCACAAGTAGCTACATTTTTAAAATCTCTGCTAAAGAGCGCTTCAGCTGCTGTGCACACATTTCTAAACGTTTAAGAAAAAGCCAGTTTTACATACATTATAAATAAAAAACATCTTAAAGACATTCTCTAAATTTTTATTTAACGTCTGGCAGGAAACGTCTTAGAGGCATATGCAGATGAGCAAACACTCTAAAAAATACATCTTGCAGGTGTAAATGCAGACACCAAATAGCCTAGACGTTTCCTGGTGTGTTATCAAGGAAAAGAGGGGAAAACACATTAAAAGCACCATAAAAAAATAACCTATAGTTTATACTATACTCAGTATAATAAGTCTCATATAGACATAGCTTTTTGTTTAGAAAAAAAAGGAGGATGAAATTATTATTAAGTCAGTGGGCTTTTCAGTGGACCTCTTCTTTTGTGCATTAGCCTACCGCTAAAAATGATATGCCATTCCACATGTTCAAACTGACGTGCAGTGTTTGAGATAAGCAAGAACCAGTGGCATTTAAACTGCACATGGTCGACTGAAATAGCATGAATGTGAGGAAATAGGGTAAAATGTTACTTTTGTACGGTTCATATATTCCATAGTATGACATAGCCTATGGGTTAGGCCAGCAGAGTTGCTTTGTTTAGGTGGGTCCGGTTATTTCAGGTTCAACAGCTGCTGAAAGAGCTGCATTCTTCACTTGATCCCTTCACTGTAATGTACACTAAGAGAGTTTGTAACGGCATTAAGTGATAGATTCTGCTTCCGTGTTTAAGCCTTTTGCTTATGGTAGAATTAAACCGGGTCAAGGACAAATAAGCGGTGTCCCAAAACCTGGTCAGCTGATCCAGGCTTACACAGCCCTCGTAGACAGCATTCGAGAGTTCGTTCTTCCATTCGCCGCTAGGTGTCAGTGTTGTAAAGTATTAAGCACTCACACCAACTTGCAATGTTGACATAGTACATCACTAAATAAGAAACGGAATCTAAACTGTAATTTAAGCAGCAAAGAATTTTGGGGGGATTTAATATACTCAAACATCTGACAATTTATTAACATTATACATCAAACATTCTGACACCTGCAGAATGTCACGACTTCTTCACATTAATATATTTTACAATCATACGCATCTAATCAATCTGTTTTGATAGATCACGATCATTAAATTCCCATATCAAACACTGCTGTGATTTTAAGCTAATAACAGTTTATCTAGATTCATTATATTGGGACTGTACACAAACACTCATATGACAGTCTATTAACCCTCTCTTTTTTCATATTAACACCACTGAAAACAAAAAAAACACTGAATACTCAACTCAGACATGGTGCAGCAATGGTTTCATTAACATTAAAATAAATAAATATTGCATACATAATGTTATTTCTATACTAACAACATTTTAATTGCACACTCAGCCCATGGCAGGTTTACTTTTGAGTGCCAAAATGAAAAAAGTCAGATTCATTTCTTTCCCTGTTCTGTGAGAGCTGAATGTCTTTTGCAGTCTGAACATCTGAAACGAGAGAGATAGAGGAATTTCTCTGTTGTGATTCTTCCAAAATCCTTAAATCACTGGAATCGACTGATTTAATGGAAGACTGAGTCTCGGTCCATGTCGAATCCGAGGCATCTTTTCCTTCAAGCTCCTCGGAAACCTCCAGAGCAGATCTGTCTATTTCCAACATATTCCCATCCTCGAGCATGTAATTCGCTTGTGTCGATCTTGCAAGAGTCGTATCCATGACCCAACCAGGAAGATTTGAGGCGGTTTTACTGCTGTTCTCTAGCGAACCCCTTGAATCCCATCCAGCAGCACTGGTGTAGTAATCCAAACTGTTACCAGTGCCACCAGTACTAGTAAAAGGCAGACCTTTGACCCCCGCTGTGGCGTAAGAGAGCAGAGCTGCTGTGTTTATATCAGTTTCGTATGATGGAGCAGCTGAGGACGACACAAACCAGCGCTGTCCGGAGTTGCTGCCCTCTTGGGTTTGGTCCGATAGGCTGTTAGTAAGCATGAGTGGTCGGTCAGTAGTGCCAGGATCAGGGCTAAGAGTTGTAAAACAGGATTTTGTGTAACTGTTGACTAACTGCTCCTGGAATAAGGCGCTTGTCATTGCGTACCGTGAGCCAAGCAGCAGCTGAGAGTGTGGAGAGTCGCCCGGTGTTGGGGTCAGTCGGTCAGCATCGCAGCCACTGTAATTTCTGGAGAAAAAACAGGAGGATGTTTATCAGCTTGGATGTTTATGTCATTTCAACTCAAATTATATTGAACTGACTTAGAAAAAATGAGTTGAATCTTGTATATGACTATGTTTTTAACAATGTAAAAACATATGTTGTCATAACTTATTGATTATATCAATTTTTTACACTTCCTACGCCCCATGACATTTTGCGCAAATGATGAGAGCAACTACTTTTGGTACCAATTAGCAAAAGGATGGCTCTTAACGCAATAATAAGCATTTTCGAGAGTATTTCCATCGAATATTAAAAGGAAATTTTAATGAGACCATGAATAACCCCAAAATATCGATTACTTCCGCAGCGATCTTGCAGACATGTTAAATATCACTGTAGTGTGTCTGTATTATGTAACGTAATCATAAATGTTTAATAAATGGGGTGGTGATGGCACAGTGGATAAGACACATGCCTTTAGTGTGAGAGACCCAGGTTCGAATCCACTGTGAGACACCAATGTGTCCCTGAGCAAAACACTTAACCCCAGTTGCTCGACGGGGTTGAGATGGCGTGCGACCTCTGACATATATAGCAATTGTAAGTCGCTTTGGATAAAAGCGTCAGCTAAATGAATAAATGTAAATGTAAACTGGTACATAGAGTAATATTTCAAAAGTGATTTCCGTCATTTTGGCAGACAATAAATATTGTATATACCTGCTTAAGAAAATTTCCAGAAAACACTGCTAAGAAGTGAAATCAGTAGACAATTACTGTACATGTTAAAGTATCCATGTGAAAACAAACCTGGAAAGAGATGTGAGGAGTTGGGGAGAAAAGTGAGAGATTCTTATCGCATTCCAGTGAATTATTAATGGGATTTATCATAAATCGGGAAGGCAGACCCCGAAGACCAGAACACTGGAAAAAAAAAAAAAACAACAACAAAAAAAAACCTTGCTGCCTTAAATTTAAGTACAATCAACTTGGTGGTTTAAGTCATTTAAACTTAAATTACATTAAACTGACTTAAAAAAATAGTTGAATCTCGTTTAACTTAAATAATTAAGTTTAAAATGGCTTAACTTATTTTGATGAGTTGAAGTAATGTAAAAAAACATATTTGTCGTGACATTGATCATGGCATTTTTTTATGTTGTCTTTCCAAATATTGTTACAGTGGAAAACAAAGGGGGAAAAGAAAATAATCAGTAGGAAAAGAATGGAGCGACTGAAAAGAGCTCTTACCATACACTGTAAAAATGTAAAAATAAATAAATAAATAAATAAAATGAAGTAAGCTGGTTGCCTTAAAATTTTAAGTTCATTGAAATGGAAAAATTGAGTTAATACAATAAAGGAGATTGATTTAATCATCCGAAACTCAAAATATAATGTAATCTGAACCACATAAATTATTTAAGTTGATTTGACAAAAGAAATTAAAATATTTTTTTTTTTTATACAATGTTAATAAGCGTTATTCTCAAGTATTAAAATAGATCATGAAGGACATTTTACAGATAATTCAATCAAACTGGCGGATGAGGTATATTGTAGCGCAACCTTATGATTTGAAATTATTTGTTTTCCGTCTTTTTGAGTAGAACTTCCCCAAACAGGAAGTACTTCCCATAATCTAAAATGCAGCAGGATTGTTAGGAAAAAGGTGAATAATAATGTCCATTTTTGTTAGTAGCATTGCTTCTTATTTAATTATTTAGTGTAACATGGAGACTGTAATGTACAGTCCAAAATACATGTTTTAGGATTTAATTATTATAGATATCATAAACTATAATAATATCATCAATAATTCAATTTATTTAAATGAATTTTTAAAAACGTGTTAATTTCCGCAGTCAAGTCGAAATGAAAATTCAGATACGAAAACCTGCAAGAGAATAAATTATCAATGCATTAATTTGCATGTAAATGGACTTACGAATCATAATTGTCCCGAAATCCTTTAGCAAATGGATTGTAGTCAATTTTTAGTTGAGTTATCTGAGGAAATAAAGAAACATGTGAATTAAATCAGTTCATATTCCTTTCTTTCTTTCATTTTTTTTTTTTTTGTCATGTAAATGAATGGCGTGAAAGACTAGTTCTTACATCTGTGTTCTGGTAAGCTGTGACGGCTCTAAATTGCGTCTCGGGAAAGGTAAACGTCTGTACTCGATCAGGATCACTTGTATCTTCATCTCCATCCTTGTTTATTTCAACCACATGGACCCTCGGCTGATACTTATGAAGGGACTGTAGAACGATCATCTTGAAGGACAAAGAAAAAACATAAATTAAAAAGAAAATCCCATTCCACACACCATAAGGAACTTCACAAGCTGCCCATAAAAATAATATAATTGTACACCATAAATGACAGGTATAGCTTCATGTTTGTGCTATTACAGTCCACAAACAAGGAAATAAAGGTGGTTGTAATATGGATAATGACATTTACGCTTCATAATTGTATGATAATAATTAAGAGAACACATGAGGGTGAGTAAATGATGACAACATTTTTGAGTGAACCATCCATTTAAAAAGCGTTATTTATATTCAATAGTTCACTTAAAAATTGAAATTCTGTCATAATTTACTCACACTCAAGTTGTTAATATAACATATCATACACATGTCTTTGAACACAAAAGAAGATATTTTGAAGAATGTTTGCAGATCTTCCCATTGACTAGTAAAAAATGTGGTAGTCTATGGGAGGAGAGCTCTTCTTGGTTACAAACATTCTTCAAAATATCTTCCTTTGTGTTCAGTAGAACAAAGACAGGTTTGGAATTGGAACAACTAGAGGGCGATTAAATGATGACATAATTTTTTTTTCTTTTTTTTTTTGGGGGGGGGGGGGGGGACTATCCCTTTAAGATAAAAGTGAGACCCTTTAAGATAAAAGTGAAACAACTTTGTTACCCCTTCTAAACCCTTCTGGGCTTCTTTATACGACCCCAACAATTGATTGAGTAATTGTACAAAAAAAAGTCATTTTTTATCGTACAAATAATATATCTTTTTTTTGTACTTTTCATCTATTCATTAATGCTGTGTTTTTGGAGATATTGTATCCATATACCACACAATTCCTCAAATACACCATTAGCTTGCATATGAAATATTATTATATATTTTTTATGATAGGCCTACATTGCATTTATGCTAGTACTAGGCCTTCATTTCTGTGAAAAAAATTTCAGATTTATTCCGGATTTTTTTTTTTTTTTTTTTTTTTTTTTTTTTTTGACACATGAAGAAAATATATTTAGTTTCTTTCACATTTCCCATTCATTTCAATGTGGGGTCATAATGACTCCAAAGACCAGAAGTGTAAACTTTTTTTTTTTTTTTTTTTTTTTTTTTTTACATACCTTCAGAACAACCGAATCAAGCCCAGTTTTTTGTGTGTATAGATTGATAATTTATGAAAAGCCACAAAATCTTATTCCACTGAGATTAAGGGAACCTTTTTTTTATTAAGTAAAAGTCGATTGGGGTCGTATAGTCCCCCTGGCCCGATTGAGGGCAACAAAATAAAAAGTTGAGAAGATCATTTTTTTTTGTCATAAAAATAAAATAAACATCCTTTATAAAATAAAATAAAATAAAAATGCCAAATAAAATCACTGGCCGCACATGGCGATAACGTTAGCTGTGAGTTTACAAATGAAAACATATTCTGAATGGCAGTTATTGTTGATTATTGACTCACCCTATATTTAGACTAAAATACTGGTTCATTTCATAAAGAGAAAATCACACAAGAAACCTGAGTGGAGTTGCTGGAAGCTCCCTTGTTGTTTGTCAGCTTCAGTTTTCCGAAAGAGATCTCCTGACGCATCCAGTGCGCGCCGGTGTTTGGAGAGTCCGGGTGCGTGTATACTTGGTTTCCTTTAAATAATAAATAAAAACATTTAATCAATCTGTTAGGGATAATATCAAACGGAAGTAACGAAGATACTGAGTGTACTTAATATTTATTTATTAATATCTGACACTTTTCAGAATAGTAGCCTAATAATTTGGTCATGAGGATATTACGCTTTAGAAAAAGGAAGGAACATCGTCACAATTTTGATAGCCCACTTAAAACCACTGTGACTCTTTTTATCTGCTGTTCATTTTCTCTCCAGTCGGTTGATAATTAGAGTTTACCCGTAACAGGGGGTTTACCGGTGACATTCGTGTCCGCTTTGCCACAGGGAACCCATTTTCCGCCCTGGAACCTCCAGTGGTTCGGATCCGCCAGAATCACATCCACAACAATATTATAGTGATACATCGGGTCAAGGCCAGAAACACTAAAACTAAGAAACGGAAACATCCGGCTGTAGGGAAAAAAACGAAACAACAAATTACTTCTCAAAAAGAAAATAGATATTTAAATATTTCAAAACGTATAACTAAATAAAATATAGCCTAGGCTACATAGCCTATTTATATTTTTACGCACTGAAATAGCAGAAATAGGCCTGAAATCCGCCAGCAATAAATATGAAAATTCGACTGACAAATGTTAAATCAATTTATAGTAGCCTAAATTATAACCAAAGTAACTGAAACAAAAAATAATAGTTCAAAAATATCGCATTCTTTTGATCTTTAATCTTTCAACAAAATCTTATTATAAATCGATTTAATAGCCTAGATAAATTAAAAAAGCAGGCTTACCGTCCCTGTTTAGTAATGATCATTTCTGTTTGGTGTCTGTGGAATTTGAACCACAGCGCCCGGTTACACAGGTAAACCTGCGCTTTACCGGGCACCGGGTGGAAAGGATAGACTGCGGCGTTTGAGTAAGTTTGTCCGTACGGCTGTGAGTACGCGTAGCTCAGCCCGTTGTACGGCCCGTTGCTGATGACCGGGTGAGTTGTCATGTAGTGACTGGAGAGTGCCGGGAGCGCGGGCACTACATGCTGACCCGAATACGAGAACATTGCCGAAGACGATGCGAAATCTGTCCGCGCTTGACTTGATTCAAGTAAATTACACTTGTCCGCGCCGTCACTGTCATCCCGTGCCGCGGAGACGCAGTCCAGAGCGTTTTGCGTGTTTCTCATTCCTGTGGAGAGTCTTTTGAAAGGTGGCTCGTTCTCCAGGGTGTCATCGGAGGAGGAGATGCGCGCGTCCCCCGCGGCGGTGATGTGCGTAAAATCATTGTCCACCCTCACTGGTTTGTTGGCCAGTGCGGACGGTGAAGGGAGTTGTTTCAGGTGCATAACTCAATGAGAAAGTTCTCGGAGTTCAACCTGGGCTGAGAACTTCAGACCTCAGACATGCTGCTTTGACTGGGTGTTCATCCCCTCTGCTGCACGTGCCAGTCTGTTAGATCGTGTTCACGCCGAGCTTAATATAGGAAAATGACGTTGCTCCGCATTTGATAGCAGCAGAATGGGCTGGTATTTGCATTTAGAGTGACATTAAGCAAAGGCTACTTAAGCGGTTTCTTGAAGTAGTTTACAGTGCATAAACTGTTCCAGCTACCTGACAGATCAGCATGTCCTGAGAAATCTGTATAGTGACAACCAGCTCTACAAATAAAAGAATAAAAAACTTTTTTTTTGATGAAAACATTCCAGGATTTTCTCCATTCATTTGAGCCAAACGGTTCAAGGTCCAAATGGGAGTTTCAGTGCAGCTTCAAAGGGCTTTAAACAACACCTGACAATGAATAAGGGTCTTATAGGACCCGAGTCATGACTCGAAGAAAAATTTGTTCATTTTGATGAACGAGTTTGAACAGGAGAGTCACGAACGCTCATCACAGAACAGAGGAAGTCATGCTTGTAAAACTTAAACATTTTTTTTTATTTTTAAATGACCAATCTTTTCTCTAGATAAGACCCTTATTCATCGTCTGGTGTCGTTTAAAGCCCTTTGAAGCTGCACTAACTCTCATTTGGACCGTGAACCGTTTGGTTCCCATTGAAGTCCATTATATGGAGAAAATCCTGGAATGTTTTCATCAAAAACCTTAATTTTCCAGGATTTTCTTTTCGACTGAAGAAAGAAAGACATTGACATCTTGGATGACATGGGGCGAGTAAATTATCAGCAAAAGGTTTTTTTTTTTTTTACAAAGTGAAACTACTACTCCTTTAAGTCAGTCAAATTAAAGCTTTGTTAAACTAAACAAATGACTTGGTTTTATTTTAAGCACAGTTCGGAATATTTTTATTATTATTGTTAATGGCCATATGGTCTAATTTAGCTTGGTGATGCTAGGACATCATTTAGCTACAGTCTTTTAGTCCAAAATATTGCATAATGGCGGCCGCTATTTTTAGGGGCCAAGCACCGAAGGTGCGGAGGCACCTATTGTATCTGTGCCGGTTCTTATTATTATTATTATTATTATTATTATTATTCTTCCGACTGGGCGTCTATGACAGCCCATAGACCGGTTTGCGGGAAAGTTGTTTTGGTTTGACATTCTGATAGAGGACAGTCCCAACTTTAAATACACCAATTTTGGTGTCTCTAACTCATTCCCTCTAGCGCCACCAACTGTCCAAAGTTGCACTTTTATTATGCTAATAACTTTTGAACCGTAAGGCCTATCAACAAAATTCTTTTTTCTTCTTGTTCCTGAGCTCATGCCGATTCGATCGCACCCTATGACGTCATTTTCCGTCATAAAAAAACGGCCGCCATTTTGAATTTTCCAAAAAACCTACTTTTGCGAACTCGTCCTAGACGGTTTGTCCGATTTTCACCAAAATCGCACCGGATCATCTCCAGGCAGTGCTGACAAAAAGTTATGGAATTCAAGATGATTCGAAGAACCGTTTTCGATAAACGCGCAAACTAATTTTACGTAGAGCTTGCAAAAACAGACGTGAGGCTGTATCTCCGCAACGCTTCATCCTATTCAGACCAAACTTGGTACATGTCATCACAAGCATGACCTGAGGCTACATGCAGCGTTTCGGCGCAGCGCCACCTAGTGGTCCGGAGATATGAAAAATGGCTATTTTTGCTCGTAACTTCTGAACGGTTTGTCCAAAAATCATAAACTTCATCTCGTTAGATTCAGGGCATCATGCCGAGTCGACTGATATCCAATTTTCCCAGATCGGCCATTTTGGCTGTCGGCCATTTTGAATTATGTGCTAAAATGCTGTATTTTTTGAACGCATGAACGAATTGTTACGAAACTCGGTATGGGTCATCAGTACGATGCCCTGAAGAAGCCTGAGAAGTTTCGAAACAGCGCCACCTAGTGGTGAATTTTTTTTTTCAAACGCTTATAACTTTGGGTGTGGTACACTTATTTTCACGGGAGTCATTTTTTGAGTTCCTGAATCGTTGCCGAGTCCAACGATACTAAACATGCTGGGTTTCGTGTTACGGTTGGTGTAGCGTAGCGATTTAGCGTGAAAAAAACACTTGGCGATATCTTCAAAACCGCTGTTCCGATCGAGACGAAACCACCGCCAGAAACACGGAATCATAGCTTGTTAACTATACACTAATGCCCAAATGCGAAAATATTGATAGTAAGGGGTAGTAAAATTCAAACAAAGTCATGTGTCAGTCATTTTTTACGTGTTTTTTCATATAAATGTTTATAACTCGGAAGTGAATTGAGATATTTGCACCAAAATTGACACACATATGTATGGGGTCACTCTGAGGACACATAAAAAAAATTGTGGGACTGAGCCTCTTGGTGGCGCTATAATAGAACAAAACGTGAAATTCCCATTGACTTCAATAGAGTTTTGTGAAATAAAATGCTATACTAAACAAATGCATTAGTGTAATATTACAAAACTCAGTGTATGCCATAAGCAGCATGCCCTGAAGGTACTCAAAAGATTTTGAGACAGCGCCACCTGTTGGTCAAAAGTTATAATTAATTTCTGAGAACGCTAATAACTTTTGAATAAATTTGCTTATTGCAATGAAACTGATCTTAATAGATTCGTTGGGTTATGCTGAAAACATAGATATCAGGTTTTCCATAATCAGACAAACTTCCTGTTCGCCATCTTTATTTCTTTGAAAAACCTTCTTTTTCGAACTCCTCCTAGACCGTTTGTCCGATTTTCACGAAAATTGAATCGTATCATCTCCAGACCGTGCCGACTAAAAGTTATGAATTGCACGATGATAGACAAAACCGTTTTCGTATACCACAGCATCAAATTTTAGGCATGCTGCCAAAATTACTATTTAGGCTTTATCTCTGCAATGCCTTCACATTTTGACACCAAACTTTGCATGTGTCATTGTCACCTCACTCTGACCACATCACATCTATTTCGTAACTGCGCCACCTATTGTTCGAAAGTGATAACCCATTAAATCATCTTATAAGTTAATGTTTATGTGATTTTCTTAGCCATTTGCCCAAAGTTCTCTCAAAATGCCCTTAATTGCTCCTTGCTGCAGTTGGTCTGCCACTCCTTGCCATTTTGGCATATGTTGCCGCTTCTTGCGCTTGGCCCCGGTAATGGCTGCTTGCAGCTATATTTATAACTATCATCGTGTATGGGCTCCTTTCATAGAATAGAAATGGCACGGTCTTGCGATTTAGTTCTCGTTATCAGTAGGCTAAAAGACATGCAGGATTTCCGTATACCTTGATATATATATATTTTTTATAGAATAGGCCTAGTAATATATACATACATATATATATATATATATAAAATTGTCGTAATTATTATAAATGATTTATCCGTGCACCTTCGTATATTTAAATAAATAAATGTGAAAAAACAAAGTAAATTCTTGCAGCAACACCATTTCTCTGATGACGTGTTTACTAGCACGACCACAACGGAAAACCACAACGGTCCAATCAAATCACAGTGCGCAAAATCAAGTCCCACCATACATTTTTCTTGTTCGAGAAGTGTTTCACTCAGATGTCACAATAGGGGAAAAAAGCTTTCTTCATAGCAATTTCATTTACATGCCAACTTCAATTTTAATATACAAGCGAGCATAAAAAACTGATAAATTTCTCGAAGTTTAAGAGTTGCCATGACAACGATAACATGGTAGGAAATTGCAGCTAAACAAGTGATCTAATTAGCCCATAGAAAAAAGTAACATACAATATTACAGAGTATTACTCTATATCTCTCTCATATAGGCTAGTGTGGTTCTATTGTACTGGTCTTTTATCTTAGCAATTGCAATAAAATAACCTAAAAGTAAAATAATTTACAGCCAGCCAGTCATTACAAAAGAACAATCCTCTCTAACATCACATTAAAGGGTGTGTGTGCGCAATAGTTACATTTGTTTCCTGTCTGCCATTATTGGACAACCTGATCAATCCAGGTGTGCCTGACCTCAGTAGTCACAATAACAATAATCAGACACACCTGTATTAATCAGTTTGTCCAATAATGGAAGACAGGAAACAAAGGAGCTGGCTGTAGTTCAGGAAGTAGTGCAGCTGTGCATAAAGCCAATTAGAGATGGGTTTATAAAGAGGTGACTTCTAAATATTTCTCAAATCAAGTGAAACCGTTTAGACAGGAACAACCATGTTTACCGAGCACACAAATAAATATTTCACACTGATGCTCACTTAAGAATCGTCTTGAAGTGCTGTCATCTTAAATAAGGTGTTTCATTGTTCTCTGAAAATCTCCCTCAGAGATTTCATTCCTCAGGAACTTCAAGGAGAAATGCAAGGACAACTGATTTACACTGAAACTACATCCCTTTGCAGTAATAATTCAACATCTACATAATGAATCTTGATAATAACATTAATAATGAGTCATTTCAATAATGAGTTGGAACAATTGTTTTTTACATGTCCAACCTTTTCCTTGATGTCCATGCAGGAAAGACAATGGCGTTACTGGCATTTTGTGTTTATTTCTTAAAAAGACAAAACAGTTGTAGAATATGAACATTTATGCACAAACAGAAACGGAGAGGGAAATCACTGGAACACAACGGTGTCCAACATTGCTGCGAGGCACTGCACAATATTGGATGTCATAAGAACATCCACATGCTCTTCCAAATGCCGTTTGGGATCCTAGAGAGAGAAAGAGAATAGCAGACATGTGGTCCATTAAGTCCTGTACACCTCAGACTACAAAAAGATGTCAAACACTAGTATTTGCCAGGTCTGCTCTGGTTTACAGTAATTACTAGGACTAGGCACTGACACATTTCCCAATTCTATTCACAAGCACCCCAATTCGATTTCGCCTCTGGTTGTTTGAGATTTGAATCTGTACAAGGAACCCTAGTTGGTTCATCACTATAATATATAACTACAAGGTTCAAATTACCTGATTTGTAGGCAACTTTAAATTGCACATAAGGAAGTTTCAGTAACAGGAAGTTTCAAGTTTACAGTCCAGTTACCCATGTAAACACTATGTACTTATTTTAGTAACTACAATTACTGGGTAATAACTAATACTAACCCTAAACCTACCCCTGTTCCATGTACTTCCCTTATATTAGCCAGTACTTTCTAGGCAAGTACACTGTAAGTATACTGTAAGTACTGTACTGTAAAAGGAAGCGTTACCGAAGTTTCTTATAAGACTAATGTTATACTCCAACATTATTTTTCTTTCCTTTTTAAATTAAAA